CAGGTAAATTAAATGAAATAAATTTTGGCAAAACTCCAAAAATTTTACAATTATTCAAAAACACAATATCTAAAGCGGCTTTATTAAACTTATAATTCAATTTTTCCAACCTTCTGAAATCTTTCTTTGAAAGTTGTGTATACTTAAGTGCAATGACATTTATAATATATCCAAAATTTCTTTTAAGCACAAAAAATGTAAATATTTTAATAAACAAGACAAACTTTTTAATTAAAAAAACTATTTTATTAATTTTAAACAATACATGTTTCGACTATCACTAGTCATCTTCAGTTAAATTTAAATTTTTTAAATAACTATATAGGTGATTTTTACAATACCAATACAAAATGTGTATGTATGTATGTATGTATGTATGTATGTATGTATGTATATATATATATATATATATATATATATATATATATATATATATATATATATATATATATATATATATATATATATATATATATACATACAGACACACAAGCCTTGTTTTAAAGCGTAAAATGGCAAAAGAATAAAAAAAAGATGTATGACGCAAAAAAATAAATTATAAAAAAAAATGTAATAGAATAACTTTTATCATCTTGCAAGGGGCAAGAATATTTATTTAGACAATTTTTCATAAAAAACAATAGCAAATATAATTACTGAATTTAAAAAAATAAATAAATTATTAGCTAAAAATTAGTACAAGTTAAATTTTATTTTATATTAGCGCCACTTTTGAAATTTTAATTTTTTTGATTGTTTTGTTATGATTGATTTTATCAAAAAAATGAAACAAAATTAATTATTAAAAACTTTAAATAACATCTTATAAAGAGTTTATTTTTTTATAATTAAATAAAAAACTTCTATGGATATAACTCTATTATTAATTTTTTTAAATAATATTTCATAGGAGTTTAGATTTTCACCCTCATTATCAAGAATAAATATTATACTTGATAATGTTATCAAGTATAAATTTTTTGAAATGCATATATTTGGTCTAAACTCTCTTGATATATTGTCTCAACAAAACTAAAATCTAAACTCTCTTGATATATTGTCTCAACAAATTAATAACAGAGTTATATCCGTAAAAAATTAAGGCATTAATTGAGAATTAAAAAGTAAAACCGATATATTGCATGTCTTCACCATATATTTGAGGTCATATAACACTAACAAATCAACTTTTGGTGTCTCCAAGCGCCTGCAAATTAACTGCCATCAACAAATTTATCTTCAAAGACGCTGCCGATGATGTCTTTAATGGAATGGCTTATGGTGTACAACAAGAGATGATCTCATTTTATTAAATTGAAATCAGAGATAAATCTCCGCAAAAAGATTACAGAGAGCTTCTTCAGTTATGCCTTCTTTTTCTTGGCAGAGAAATTGATGGAAAGCTTTGTCTTTGTGCACCAGATGCCTTGCACAATGCAAGATGGATGGCTAAGGCCACTCTAAAGCTAAGACTATTCTATTAAGATATGCCCCATCAGAGATCAGATACAACTTACAGCACAGAAATAGATAAACATTCTCTGTTTGTTTCACTCATTTATGCCTGATTCATTTATGTCAGCTGCTTAGAAAGCACCACTGAACGACCTTAAACTGCTAAAGCTGTTTGACGAGTATCCCGAGCGCTGTGTCTGTGATAAAGCATCCACTGCAACAAAAGCAACACTTATGGTACTTTTCAGAGCATCTAGTACCGCTTTCTTTGTTTGATGAGCGGGTCAAAGATGAAATCAAGACAAAAATGGTGGTAAACTTTTCACATGTACCAAAAAAGAATGCTTTTAAGTGACTCAAAAAGAAAACATATGATCACAGCAGCCCTTTGTCAGAATACATCACAAACAGATCTATGTTATTCCTTGATTTGCTATCAAAAAATGGAAAAGAAGCGACCAAATCCTATTGAAGCTGCCTGTTCTATAGCTTAATGATTCCAGGAAATGAGTATGAAAATTACTCTTCTCAAAGTTGTTAATGACATGGCAGAGTGAGGCATTGCCCTCATCCAAAACTACAACAGCGCATTAATGAAGAACAAGACTCAAAAACAATATTTATTGCAGCTTGTTATCAGCCATCTGAAGCAGTTTCCTACTCCAACTAAGGGAGCGGTGATGAATATATATTTGCGGAATGCGTATAACGGTGATAAATGAATTTTTTTTTATAAACAAAAGTATTAGCCAATCTAGTTTATGCGGTTATGTTATTTGTGATAAAAATTGATAATGCTAAAAAAATGAGAGACATTTCTTTTTTTACCGTTTCCTTAAAAAAGTGTATTCAGTAGGGACCTTTAAATATCGTCCGACTTGCACAAAACTTCTTGAGGATACTTATAAAATCATATTTAACATGGGCAAACTTGTTAAGCAAAATAACTTGAAAAGTTATATTTTTGGGCAACCCTAATATATATATATATATATATATATATATATATATATATATATATATAAAATACACAATGGCATTTTACATCCAAAAGCTAGTTCAACATGGCAGATTATTACTTTTTTATACCTTTTGGAAACTGTGTTCACATTTGTACTGTTGCATCTCATGGCACAAACAGTATGATTTGTGCCTTGTTCTGAAATGACTGAGCTAATGCTGCTTATGTTGATACATTTTCCTGATGTCAACTTGATATGACAAGATACTCCCCGCCTGGTTTTACTTCAACTACATAATTATTTTCAACAGTTACATTGCTATTCCACTTTAGACAATTTTTCATAAAAAACAATAGCAAATATAATTACTGAATTTAAAAAAATAAATAAATTATTAGCTAAAAATTAGTACAAGTTAAATTTTATTTTATATTAGCGTCGCTTTTGAAATTTTAATTTTTTTGATTGTTTTGTTATGATTGATTTTATCAAAAAAATAAAAATCGCTTTTATTCTGTCTCTGATAACTTTTGTTAAAGTTTTATCTTTTCTGCCATCAAAGTAAATGCTTGTGATGCTTTTGCTTGTGATTCTTTTACTTGTTTTCCTCATATCTCACGTTTTTTGCTCAAAGTTTTTTTTTTTTTTTAAATTCTGATTTAGTCCCAACAAGGCTTCAAGCAACCACTACTATGTTGAAAGTTATAGAGCAAGGAAACAGTTGACAGAAGACTTTAAAAGTTGAAAGTTGTATGAGTCAGGGTTACTTTTGGCATGTTTTAAGTTTAAAGAGAACTTGACTCATTTACAGATAGACCAGGAACTCCTAAGCAATGAGCTATGCAATTTTCTCAGTGCTGTTAATTAACCCTAAATCGTAACAGGCTCCTTATGTGGTCTCTTAAGTCTTCCTTAATTTAGGCCTTTTGTGCCAAGCTTTGCTCTTGTCAACTGCAAAACTCTGATCATCCTTAGTAATCATGCCAACATCAATTAAGACTGCAGTTACCAAAGAGGCTGTTGCTCAATCTCATATACCATTTCTATCTGCTTCCTTGGCTAGATTTATTAGGGGGAATTCTTATTTGCCTTGCTTGCATATCAGTAGTGGGCAAGAAATTACTTTCACTGAGGAGCACTTTACTATTATTTTCTCTTCATTTGAATCTGTCTTTATCTACCCTTTAAAACCTCAACATCTCAGCTTCATTTGGTTTATATGTCAAAAGTTGTTCTTCATTAGCATGCTTTCTTTTTAAACATCTCTGCAATCTGGTCATTATTACAGTATCAACACCTCCAATAAACACACAATTTCCTTTGATCCAATAATAAAAAAATTTCTATTGGTGGAACTTTTAATTGTTTAGGACACTAGCAGGAAACAGTTACTTGCTTAATAGATTGGTTGTATAACATCAGGCATTTACATGACACAATATCAAACATAAAATTCAAGCTCTTCTGGAAATTAGGATAATGTTTAGAACTGGATTTTGAGCAACACAATTCTGTTCCGGCAGTAATTAAGGCATCAACAAGTTTCACTGCAGATTGAGTCTGCCAAGTTGGAACTGAAGCTTTATCACACAATCCACAACATCTTGAGCAACAAATTTTGTATTTTTCTTTGTTACAATCATGTCAACTTTCTTTCAGTTGTAAAAATCTCCTTGCAACTGACATGTAGCCATAATGTCAAAAAACCAGATCAATTGGTTTAGTAACTAAAACAAAATAAAAACAAAGCATTCCAGATTCTGCAAACTACATACAAATCGGTTTGTTCAAATTTAGACAAAGTTAAGGCAATGTAGCCCGGTAATATTATTGGTTATGCAAAACAACATTGGCATGCAAACTTTCAGACCCAAAAATGGGACACTTCCTGAATAGCATTTTTATTTTATACAACTGCTTCTGTTTTATACATGGATTGACAAATAAGTACAGAGTATTGTGATAAAATTCATTTTTTTGTTTATTTTTAACCCACCCTAATATATATATCTTCTCTGTTTGGTAAGCGTTTAGGCGCTTAAGCTTTTTTTACGCTCACCCACATGCCCCAAAATATTTTGGCAGGCACATAAAAAAGCACTTGCTGAAAAAATACAAGCACTTTTTATTTTGATTGCAATAAATTGTTTTGTTCATCAAATATTTTTATGAAAAATTGAAATAATGAAACACTTTTATGCATGAATTTTATTGAGAATTTAATAAAGTGTTTGTTTTTGCTTATTTAGAATTAAAATAAAACATTCGTTGTTTTTAATACAATTATTTTATTTAGAATTTAAATAAAAAATTGTCTATCCCTTTTTATTTCAATAACTTTAAATACGTTTTTTATTTTATACGTGTAATATTTAAATACGTTTTTCATTTTTTTGTCATTTTTACTTGAATTATTTTATCTAAAATTTAAAAAAAAAAATTTTTAATGCCGTTTTTCTTTAAATTATTTCATATAGAATTTATTAAAAGAATTTGCTGCTTTTATTTTAATTTAAATAGCAAATAAAAGTTAATTTTTAAAATCGCATATGGCAGCCTAAAAATGATCATAATAAAACTTACCAGCTGTATGTTCATGTTGACCAGCACAACCATTAGATGCAGCATTTACAAGTTTTTCTACACACTTAAAAAATAAGTAAAAATTTTAATTAACAATGAAAAGAGTTACATTATTAGTAAAGGAAAATATTAAAATTGATATGTTCAAACATCTTATAAAAGTGAATAGTGAAAAAGTGTAAGTGAAATTGGCCTTGCTTGGCAAATAAAACACTTAAAACAAAATGAAAGTATTACTTTAAAACAAAAATAAAATATTTTTTTAAAAAGACATTTGCAAACGAACATAACTAACAAATCATTTTGTTATGAAACAAAAATTTATCAAATATATGTTAAATAATTAAACACAAATGTTAAATGTCTTTTTTTGTTGTTGATTTTAGTTTTTTTTTTTTAATATAACATTGTTTCTTTTATTATTTTTTCATATTTTATCTCTATATATTATTGCAGAACTTAATCCTGTTAGTAGTATTAGTGTCCCTTAAAATACAATACACATGTGAAATTTTATAGAGATTATATACAAACATATGTACCAACAAATATATACACTTTAACAAATAAAAAATTAAAAAAAAAAAAAAAAAGTTCTAAAAAAATCAAAAAACGGGAGAAAATTTGTTGCATATGTGTCATGATAAGATACTTATGTTTTTATGTTTTTTATGAGATACTTATGTTATTTCAGTTATACATTTAAAAATCTTTTTCAATTAAGTTAAGTTTGTGCAAGGAAAATGAGTATACAACATGTTTATATATAGAATATAAAATCTATATTACTATGAAGTTGTTTTGTTTTGTATTTTAAATAACAAAAATTAAAAAAAATAAATAAGATGATTTGAACTTGCCATGCGGCAACCTTAACTTTTTAAGTAAGTGGTTTTAAATAGTATGTTTTTAATAATAAACATAATTGAAAATTCTAATTTCATATTCAAGTTAAACCATTTTGTTAAATTTATTCCACAGGGTCAGTGTGGAATAGACTTACAAAGACCCATATTTTACGGGTCAAATCAGCTAGTTATACATTATTAAAAAAATTGCAAAGTATGTTATATGCTTTACCAAAGATAAAAGAGATCAGAGGCATTTAATTGAACATGAAAAATAAACCCCATGAACATCATTTCTACTGTGATTAATTTTTGCTGCCATTATTTGCATACCTCACTTATATATTTGTTTTTGTGATTTGTAAAGTTATATCAATATTTTATCAATGTCTTAAATCAGGTATGGGCAACCTTTTACATGTTGTGAGCCAAACTTTAGTGTACAAATTTCTATCCTAATAGTACAACTTACCTTCTAATAATAAAATTCATCTTAATAAAATCACAAAAGGGTAAGAGCTGTTTAATTAATTGCATTTTGTTTTCATATTGTTTCTTTGTTATTCTTGTTTTTGTGTTAACTACAAACTTACTAATTGTACATTAAAATATATTATATAAATATATTAAAATTGAAACTGGTGAAACCTCTTCATCTACTTTTTGTTTCTTTCAACTATTTTCGTTTACTTTTTGCTCAATAAACTTAACTCTTTCCTTACCAGCCTTTTTTAACAAAAAACTTCTTGATATGGCCACACATTTGACATAATATTGCAAACAAATTGAAATTTGAATAGTAAATCTTTTTAAAAGCATAACAAACTATATATCAATAGAAAGCTAAATAAATGAACTTTTTTATTTTATAGATTTTTAACACGGTTCATTTAACAAAAAGAAATGCAAAGCACTTAGAACCATTGTTTTTATAAATAACAACTAAAACATTAACATTAATTACCACCTCAAGGTGCACACAATTTTTTAATTAGGTTTTTCAAAATGTCTTGCATTTCGGATCAAATCTCACAACAGGTCGGATCCAGCTCAAGGGCCACAGAACCAGATGTTGTTTTCTACTTGGCAAACAAAATCTTTTGAATGATGCATTAAATTGATAAAACTCTAATAAAAGCTTTCTTGGTTGACATCTAGTTTAGAATCAACACTTTACATTTTAATTGATTGATTGTCATTAATCAAAGAAAACATAAATTGAATTTGAACAGTTGGAATCAGAGAAACAGGTAACATAAATCTTTTCTTGATGTTGTCATGAAAGAAGGCATTCAGATTATGTCAATCTAGCATAAAAATTTTATATGGCCTGATAAAACCTTTCCAGCTATATATATATATATATATATATATATATATATATATATATATATATATATATATATATATATATATATATATATATATATATATATATATATATATATATATATATATATATATATATATATATATATATATATATATATATATTTATATATATATATATATATATACATATATATATATATATATATATATATATATATATACATATATATATATATATATATATATATATATATATATATATATATACATATATATATATATATATATATATATATATATACATATATATATATATATATATATATATATATATATATATATATATATATATATATATATATATATATATGTATATAACCCTGGGAATTAGGAAAAATGAGATCGACAATAAGACTTAGATTCCTTCATTTTTACAATTTTCCACAAACTTGTTGCTGATGTGCTTTTTACAAAACCAATGGATAAATATGTTGGGAAACAATAAGCATCTTTTAGTTTAAATGCATAGTAGCCAGGCATAAACTCTAGATTTGCAATTTGCAAATCGTTGCAACTTGCAAATCCAGTTTATACTTCTGATTACTTGTTGTTGATTGTTTGCTGTTGCACCGTCATTACAGTTGACTTAACAACTGACAAATAAGAAGAATCACTAATAAAGCTTAAATAATCTTGCTTATCTTTTGACAGGTTAGACTTATTTGATGCTGCAGATGTAAATGGCCTTGACTATAAAACTGATATATTGCTAAATACTTCAGCAGAATCATTAGCATTTCCTTTTTTTTTTCTTCTGCATTTATCCAACTGGATCTTAACTCTGTCTATTTTTTTAAGTATGCTCTCTTTGCAATAATTACCTATTACTTTATCTGGGCTATCACTTAGTATGGTCACTTCATTCCACTAATTAGCCTTATTTTTTTTTCCCTTAATGATACTCTGTCATGTTTAAGAACATACTTTACTTATATTTTAAGTAAAATTTAAAAATGATAACAAAATTTCAAATTAGCTTTATACTTCATATTGGAATAAAATGCAATCTGATTATTAATTAAGCTATTGTTAAAGACAAAACACCTGTAAAAAATGAAAAATAGCTTTTACATTAATCAAAGTTTGTTACTAAAGATTTGTACCAAACTTTAGCAAAAACCCAAAAACCAACTCAAAAACCCAGTTGGGTCATGTTTCTGCCAACCCTGAATTTATATATATATATATATATATATATATATATATATATATATATATATATATATATATATATATATATATATATATATATATATATATATATATATACATGCACAAAAGTTTAATCGAAATGGTAAAAAGTTCTTTGCACTACTTTACAATGCGATAAGGTATTCTTAAATCTTTATAATCTATCAATATCTGCTTAACCAGTAATAAGATCAAAAAATTTGCTTCATCAGCTTAACCAGTAATAAGATTGAAAACTTTTATATTTGATGACTTCTGTAGTGATGGATAAACCTTATGTTATTTTAAAATTAGTATAGTAATTTTTAAAAGTCAGGTAATTTATTTAATTCATGCATTTTAATAATAATTTCAAGTCCTTTGTCATTTGTATTTAAAGTATATTTACCTGTAATTTTTATTTTTAAGAACTAGAAGACAATGCTTTTTTCAAAGTTCAAACTTTTTTTAAAGCTCAAACTCTTGATAAAGTTGGTGTTAATCTTTAAAACCCTTGCATTTCACAGTTAACTCTATGTTGCATGTTAAAGAACAAGATCATTTAATACTATTTTTTAATACTTTTATAAATGAAGTGTTTCTATGTTTGCAATTTGTTATGTTATGTGTTTAAAGCTTAAAAGTGGTTATTATGTTGTTTCCATAGTTTTAAAGTGATTGTGACTTGACTTAGTTTACAGCAAGAGTGTTTTCCTTGCTAGCCAAGTGGTATACTTTGCTATAATGTGACTTGGCGTTGTTAAAGCAAGAAAGTTGCCTTTGCCAGTCAAGTAGTGTTAAGTCAAGTCTCTTTTTATAGTCAAGTCGATTTTAATAAACTGTTTTAAATTTTTTGTAAATTTTATATAAGGTTTTTTTAAAAGAAAACTCCCATTTAAATTTTATTTATTAGCTTGCAGTTTTTGAAGTCTTTCTTAAACAACTATTGTTCTTTGACCTACGTTACACTGGAAGATTAGATATTTTTTTTGTTTTTTTAATATGTTTAAATTAAAATAATTGTTTTTATAAAAGTTAAATTAAAATAATTTGTTTTTTTTATAAAAGTTAGTATACAAAATGTTTTAAAATTTGATAAAGTTGATGTTAATCTTAAAAAACCTTGTTTTTCACACAAACAAATTCTATGTATCACATTTAGAACCAAGTCATTTGATACTTTGCTTTTTTAAATTTGATAAACATGCATTTCAAAGTATGTCATTTAGCGAATAATGTTAACATTCTCTAACAAGCTAATTTCTTGGTCCCTTGGAAGTTTGAGAGTTTACTGTAATATGTTATGCAATTTGTTAATTTTGGATGTTATTGTTGTAATGTTTTGTGTTGATAGACGCCCTTGCTTTTCTTCATGTTGGTTTCTATTGTTAACATTGATTATTGGGTCGTTTCATTACTGAAACTGGCTACATAAACATTCACTAAAAGCCAAGAATTAATTTTTTAAATAAAAATATATTTTTATCTTATTGTGATTTATTTTTAGCGTTGTTTTTTCAAAAAGAGTTCATAGTCCAAACTTGCAACAAAAATCTTGAAACTTTCCTGAAAAAAAAAAACCATTTCCTAAAGTTTCTTATTTGTTATCTATTTAGTCACATTTTTGAATTTTCAAATAAGTGAGAAATAAAAA